ATTGTATTATTTGGTTGTTGTTATCATTCTTTTTCTCTAAGTCGTTTGGTAGAGTGTATAAGAATAATGTTAAATAGAGTGTATTAGTAATACTTGCATTAGCAATGCATGTATTAGTTATGCGTTGTTTGGTTTGATGTATTAAAAAGTAGCATGCATTGCATAAAAAAATTAATTTACAAAGATACCCTCCACTATTATGATAGAAAAGATGTAAAAAAGGTTTTGAGGGGCAATTGCGTCTTTAATTAAGTTAATGCATGCATTAAAACCATTGCATTGCTAATACCTAAAAATCCATGGTATTAGCAATACACAACTTAATTCACAATAGAGTGTATAACTAATGCAAGCATTAGTTATACATAGGTTGGAAAAGAGTACCAAACAAGGTTAGTGTAATACACAAGGCTAATGCATGCATTATTTTTCCTAATACACTCTACCAAACGAATGTTATATAATGTTTTTCTTATGATTTACTACTTCTTTGATTATATATTTTTTGTTTCTACTAGCTTTAATATGCATTATTTGAGTCGAGAATCTTTCGAAACCAATCTCTTTATCTCTACTAGGTTGAGGCAAAGGTTAGCATTCTATCATATTCAAACCTCATTTGTGGAATTACACTAGAATTGTCTTGAAATGATTCGAGTAATGAATATTTAAATTCTTAATAATTTACATATGTTTGATATTTATACATGATCACTCTCATCCATAATAAGAGGTTTCGAGTTTGAGTTCGAGCTCGAATGTTTCACCTTTTAATCAGTTTTTGGGATCACAAATTCAGCCCTAAAATAAATGCTGAATATAAAACTAAAAACAAACATGGCTCTTTTAATAGCAGAAGGAAATAAATTTCAAAAATAAGAAAAGATAGTTTGTATATATTAGAATAATATAAGAATATTACGTGGCTGACAGAACAGAGTGTAATGCCTGCATGACCACATTAAGGTGCCAAATTAGTAGGGTATCCTAAAAGGTATCCCAATGCCCATGATCTCTATATTAATTACTCTGTTACTATTATAATCTTCACTTAAATTACTCCACTAATCCTCTCATAACCTAGGTAACTCTCAAGGAAATGAAGGTATATTAACCAAAGTTAATGTACAATATTGGTAGTGGAATATAAATTCTTAAGAAACTATATAGCATATCGTTGTGATAAGAGGCTTGACATTATAAGTAAGTACATGTGGAAAAACATGCATCAAGAAAATTAAGGTGCCATTTAAAAATTTTCTATGCTCTTTTTCTTTTGATGACCGCAATGTTTGGTACAGCTTTCACGCACCTTGATTAATTTTAAGGGATACCTGTTATCTCCCACCAATAATAGGTACCAAGTAACTTTGTCCATCAAGACTAGAAATTGCTCGAGATAATTGTTTTTATTATATTATATAGTACTAAATTGAAGACTCTATTGTAGATCTTCCATATTATTTTCCAACACAAAGTGTGTTGTCCCAAAAAAACAATTAAGGATGGTAGGCTTACATTACTTTTTAGACTTAATTATCATTGTAATTTTCGAACAAGATGATCCATCATCTTGCTAACAATTTAATGGTGTGATTACTTGCATGTGAAATTAACTGTATTAAGGAAATTTACATCAATTCAATAAGTAAATACTACACATATAATGTATAGTACAATTTATATATATATAGACTTCAATCATATCATTATACTTAATTGACATATATTTATCTCAATTATATATGACTTGATCACAATAAAGCAATGTAGTTTGATGTAAATATGGTATGAATTATGAATCTGTATGTATATCGTTGACTAGAGTTACATCTACTGCAATTGAGATGGCTTTTGGTTTCAAGAATGTTTGACACTGATTAACTTGACGGCATTGTGCGTCTTAGTGTGTTCAACTTGAATAATAATGTTCAAGCTTGTTTCACCCGAGGCCTAACTTAACCCCAAAAAATTAGCTCAAGAGAGACCAAATGTGAAGTGTCCCTTAACCTATCGATGTTGAACTCCTCGAGAGGAGTTTAGTGATGAAGATTTTGGTTTCTACAATGTGTCTTACGAACTTTTCATTTGTGTTAAAAGTAAGATTTTCGAGTATCTTTAGTAAGGGCACTATTGGAATGTATGAGTCCACCGATTTCGATGGGACCAGGTCCTCAGCACAGTTACAATAAGCAGTAAAGTAAATGCTGAAAGTAAAGGTTGCACAAACAACTTTACGTGAAAACTTCCTTGCTCAAGGGAGTAAAACCACAACCTAGCCTGCCAGGACTTTTCAAAAACTGCTTTCACTAATCTTTTCAAGCAAAAGTAAAAGTCAATTTACAAACTAAGATTAACCTACTAATCCCAACTCTAAGCAATACCTCATATTACTTAGATGAGCCACAGCATACACAACACTGCTCACTAAGTTATCACCCTAGATAACTTAGACTTTGCTGAGCGGATACCATATCGCCCACTAAATCAGCTAGCTCCAAGATGATTTAGACTTTGACTAGGCAGATACAACACTACCCACTATACTAATCCTAACCGATTAATTTAGACTTTAGAGTAAGACCCTAAGTTACCCTTAACCTAGTTCTTACAATGATTCACACAAGTTTGAAACGTTTCGTTCACAAGTGAAACGATTCCTACAATGTAAGCACGATTACAAGCAAACAAAATTAACAGTTGGTACAAGAAGCACTTGAAGCAATTGATCAGGTCCCTGCTGTTTTTGAAGCTTGAAATATCTCTCTTTGAATGAATAAATCTTTTGTTGTTTGTAAGTTGAATATATTGGACAAGAAGAATTATTGTCCAATGTACAAGCAACCTCCTCGCTTTTGATTGGTGAAGTACTTTGCAGCTTCACCAACTTCCTGACACGGACAACTTTTACAGTTTTACAGCACTTTGACAACTGGACGAGTATTCATACTCTGCAGAGGACTAGGTCCCTGCACTTGTGAGGACATCATCAAAACATCAAGGAACATAAGAACTTATCAATTTCCCCCTTTTTGATGATGACAAACAACCTGCATAACTCCTCATGTGAGTGAACAAAACATTCATTCAATAACTGGTGTTCCCCCTTAATTAGTGTCTCTACACTTGTGAGGAGATCATCAAAACATCTAGGAACATAAGCACTTATCAGGCACAAATAGTAAGAAATGGATATAGAGATTTATATTACTGATCTCTAGTGGAGTTGGGTATTGAGGAGTAATAGTAGTAACAATTGTTGCATCAAGTACAAGTATTGTCTGTTTTGATGTATGAATTAAATTCTTGGCGGATACTAGCTTCTTACCTGCTGCTAAATACACCGATAATTGTTGAAAAGATGCGTAAATTGAGTTAGATGATTGGATAAACAAGTTGTTAAATTAATGGGCCAGATGATTGTTACGTTTCATCAGTCTGCTAAGAATTGTGTCAAATGTGCATCTTGATACATGCACAAAGAATCTTTCTTTACTGATCAAGGAAGGAAATTAACAGAGTTTAGTGGAATCCGTACGTCCTACTTTAATTTGCTCCACCATCTCCACTTCAATTCTTGATTGCATTACATGGACTGGACTCAGCTGGCTTGTGAACTTCTTCCCAACGCCCCACACCTGACTCATTTATTCTTTACACATCGATCTCCTGTTTCTTTTGCACACCGCGTTGTTAAACTTATGATGTGCTCAATGTAACATTGATAGATTATAGTAAAGCAACCCTTTTATTCATTGTGATACAAGTAATTGTATCTAAAGCTGTTGTTCCTTTTTACACCTTACAGGTTCTCCTCACTGGAGAAAATTGTAGCAGAGGAGAAAACTGGATTCTAATCTTTAATTATTCTTCAATACAAACAGAGGAAAACTGAACTAAAAGAGTTGCAGGGCCACGTCCTCTCGTTGAAAAAATACACTATATATATTTAAAAAATTAGAAGTAGGTGAGAGTGTGTATACTTGACATAAGGGTTCTGGATTCTAGGACAAGGACCTCAAGTGTTAGTAACATGAGTTCTGAATTTGATTTTTGTACATATTTAGTGAAGTTATGATACATATATATATATGAAGTTTGAGCTAAAATTACGAAATTCTACTGAACTGTATATTCAAGCCTACATCAGCTATTTCTATATTTTCCTCTCGAGCCATAGGAGCAATCAGGAAAGCTACATCATACCCCATGCCTGAGCGCAGAAGGCTTTATGCACCGAGCTGCAAAAATACTTGGCAAGTTTTGAAGCCTTTTGTGTTGCTTCTTGATATAGCCTAGTGAATTTGATAGCATTTTGGAGAATTTTGTGAGTAATGGAGAAAAAAAAGAAAAACATTTTGATAATGGAGAATTAGGGCTGCAGGTTGGGTTACACTATACCAAAAATATTTTTTCACTGTAATTAATTAACGACAATAACTTAATTATCGCTAAATATATATTTTTAGAGGCAATTAACGTGAATGTCCTTAAAGCCTATAGCGGCACTGAATCCAATTGCAATCAACTAATACCAATAGAAAAACTTTAACACTCTTTGTTATTTGTCGCTAAAAGCTATTTTTGTTGTAGTAATTACGACCCGGTGTTTAAACCCATTCAAGCAAAGTAATTTTTGAGCGAATCAAGTAATCATTCATTAATTAACTCAACTCATTTTAACCCAATCAAACCCTCCATATGTCACCTCTATGGGTGGCTTAGTAGCCAATAAAATAAAAAAGAGAAATTTCCCATAATCATTTTACATAATTGGATAGGTATGATATATATCAGAAAATAACACAATTGTGAAATGATGATGGAAACTTCATTATCTATAGTACCATATAATTCAGACAAAAATTAATCTTAGACACGATAATTAACGACAACAGGTTTAGTTCTAGTCCAAGGTATAAAAGGTTGCTCTCTAGACCACCTAAAAATGTGCAAAAAAAATACATAGCCTAAAATTAAGAGAGTGATCAAAGAAAGAATTATTAAAATGGAAACACCAAGGGCTTTGGCAATCCTTGTTCTTAGACTTTTCACTATGTTGTTGTGCGCAGCTTCAGTGCCAATCATGATTACCAACAGCTTCCAACTTAGTGGAGGCGAAAAAACCAAATACAGTGACGTTAAGGGCTACAGGTTATATATATTTTTCATTTTTACTTGTTCACTATATTAATTTTTTTTTAAAAAATTTACTTGTATATTATACTAAAAATAAATCGTTAATACAGGTACGTGGTAGCAGCGGGATTAATTGGATTTGTGTACTCATTGATTCAACTACCATTTGCATTGTATTATGCCGTGACAGGGAAAAGGGTTTTTCATGGCAAGTTCCTTGGCCGCTTGGATTTTTACGTAGACAAGGTATATACTCCCTTAGTCTACCGTCATGTTGCGTTTTTCGAAAGTTGATTTGACTAATTTTCAAAGTTAAATTAGATAATATTAATTCGATATTTTAAACAAAAAAAAATTAGATATTCAAAAACTATATGAAAAGTACTAATATAAATTATAGTTTTTTACATATCGATATGCTGAAAAAATACATCGTAAAATGTTAGTCAAAGTTCTTATAGTTTAACTCTAGAAAAGGAAATCATGACAATTAAAAATGGACGGAGGGAGTATAAACTATATAATTAAATAGGTGGTTTTAGAAAAGTCTCTAGAGCTTGAGTCTTACTATTATCACCTATTAAAAAGAATCTGAAGACTCTGCCTAATTAAAAAAACGTTTAGATATGATGATCACACATTCCAATACTATAAATTATGTGAATTTCATGATCAAACGACTCGAGATAGCACATGTCAAGAGCTAATTGAGTGAATATATTGCAATGCAGGTGCTAAGTTTTTTCCTAGCAAGTGGAGTTGGTGTTGGTTTTGGTGTTAGTTCTGAACTCAAACGTTACGTAAATGGATTTGTAGACACAATTGAAACAACTGGGATCGATACATTCGAAGAGTTAAGGACGAAGAGTCTAATATTCTTTGATAAGGGTCATTTAGCAACTACTCCACTTCTTGCTGGATTTGTTACTATGGCTGTGCTCACCATTATTACTTCTTTCAGTCGCAAATGAAGATCGATCTACACTTTTTTGGAGCAACAACTATTAAGTGTAGCAAAATAAACCTTGAGTATTGTTGTTTAATTCGCGTGTGATCGTCGTTTAAATAATTTGTGTGTGTTGAGTTTGAAGATGCAATAATAATAATATGTGTACGTACTTTGTTTCAATGAATATCAAGAGATGGAAATGTACTAGTACTGTTGCTATTAGCTATATATTGTGAGAGTGAATTCATTTGAGTATGTAATGATGGTAATCGGTATGGTATTTTGTTAAATTGGGAATTTTTTTTGGAGAAAATCACTCTTTGGGCCTTGGTTTACATGCAAGTGTTGGACTTATTAAGACCCAATTCTTCTTTATGTGAGATTTTAGATGGACAAATTTAGCAATGTTATGGATTGAATGTAATTGAACGGTGGATAGAATGGTGGAGCCAACAATTTCAATCAGGGGATTTTTAAAAATTGCTTATAAATTCAAAAGTGGGACTCTTAGTAGCTCGGTTGATTGGCTAACTGAACTTTCACTTTATTAGTGAGGGTTTGATTCCTTATCCCCATTTTTTTTACAAAAGAAATTCAAAAGTGCAATTTTGAGATATTTTTTTTATGACTATGGTGTTCGGGTCAGCTTTCGCGCACCTCAACTAATTTCACGTGATACTTGCCACCTCCCACCAGCAACATGTACCAGAAATTTTGTATATAAGAAAAAAATTGTACCCTTTTCCCGTAAGTTTATCCATTGTATAATTAAATTTTCTGAGGAAGGAGATTCAACTTAAACCTTTTGGACTAGTTTGGAAGCAAGTAGTAACAAAAGCCTGGATGATAATACATAACTTGTAATGTAATAATAATACAATCTGTGATAACATTGCATTCACATGTCATGTCAATATGTTTAATGTTTAGGTTACTTAAAAATTGATTGAGAGGGACATTTGGTTCTTGTGGTAATGCATCAAAGTATTATATATATAAGGGCTCCCCACTGAGCATGTCACCTTCTTTCCCTGCGCAGCTTTAGTTCCCATCAAATTATATAGAAGTTAGATGAATTGACATATTATACAAATTACAATCTTATCCCTTTTTTAAAAATCGGAACTCCTAATGAATCATGAAATTTTCATATTTACAACAACAACAACAATATATCAGTGTAATCGCATGATTATAAATGAGGTTTGAAGAGGGTGACATGTACATACGTAGCCTTACTACCTACCTAGCGAATTTAAAACATATTGAATCAAAAACCCAAACCAAAACTAGATCTATAGTTGGTGCGAGTGTATATATATTAAAAGAAATGTAGCACCTATTAGTTTAAGATTCTGAATATGCCTAGAGGAAAGGACACAAAGAAATGCTACCACGCACCCACTAGATCAATTTCCTTAACACATTGAGGGATCCATTTGTTAGGAGTCAATTATATATGAAGAAAATGGGGTAAACAACTTGAGGTACACGCAGACAAAACTTTAGTGTCTTAATGGAGATAAGCCAACTAAGAAAAAGACAGATTGAGGCCAGCTCTAGTCAGGTCACTTAGGTAGAGTTTGTCATTTGCAAGCAATACCTAACTACTACTAATTGCTTTTTCATGTCTTCCAAACTTCAATTCATGTTGTGCTTAGTTTCACTCTCAACTCACTCTAAAACATGCATGATGTAGTCAGATGCTTCTTCTATTTTTTTACTTAGTGCAACTAGGTCATCCTGAACTTGAACCAGAGTTCTTGTCTATGAAGTAAATCACCGCACCAACTAATTGAGAGAGATCATCCATTTTACTGGTATAGACACTTATCATGACCTCCCCTTCTATATATGTCTTGTGGTAATGATTTTTCTGACATTACGATCTAATTACCACAATGGTGTTATTCATTAATGAAATTATTTTCTGAATTGGATTTCACTTACTATCTATGGATTATTAGATTTACAAAAAAAAATAATTAAACATGTAGTGATTTTTGAAATATGTATACAAAGTCGATAAGCTAAAGAAAAGAGTTAGACTATCTCAATGATAACTTTATTTTTTGGCTTAAGTCATCTGCGGCCACTTAAAGTTGTCCGCATAATTCACTTAGACACCTCAACTAAGGCTAGTACCTATTGAACACTTTTATCTATTCAAAACTTGTTCCTATTTGACATTTTCCGATAATAAGTAAAAAAAAATAAAGTGTGTGTAATGCACTTGCTGTGATGTGTCAAAATGACTAATTAAAAGATAACATGTGGCGTAGGGTCCAACAATTATAGAAAAAAAGAATTTTATATTAAAAAGAATGAAACTTATTTCAAATTAATTTTTCCATCTAATTTTATTTTATTTTTAAAAAAAAAGAGAAGCCCAACCCTATCCAGCCCCTTTTCTTCTTCATCTTCATCCTAACAAGATTGTTTTTCTCAAACAACAAAATTCAATATCTTTGTTATTTGCTTTTATAATTATTTTTTATTCCTAATACGTGAGAGAAAAAGATATTCAAAGAGACTGATACAAGAGTGATGAAGAAAGAGAGTCTTTCAATCGTCTTGAAATCGATAGCAAAGAGAAATCGAGAGGACGTAAATTATTTTTATTGAATCAATCTGATATTATTTTTGAAGATTTTAATGGGTTTACATTTTAATTTGACTGGTAATATTTGTTCGAAGGGGACCGAGATGGGCGTCAATCGACTAATTTTTTTCAGCATGATGTTCTCTCTTCTTTTTTCCCTTCAAATTCAATTAGTCAATTCAATTTTTATTGTTTTTAATAAATATTGAAAAGAGATAGAATAGAAAAAGAAAGAAAAAAAAAACAGTGTGCAGGTCTTTTTTGGTGAAGAAGACTTGAAAGGGGTGGGGTGGGGGCTTTTTTTCTTTTTTTGTTTTTGTTTTAAGAATTAGTATTACCTATAAGCTATTTAAATGCCAAGTGGCAAAAAGTATTAATATTTTTTGACAAAAATAAAAATAAAATAATATTTAAGATTTTTTTAGGCGCTTAGTTGAAGTGAAAAATACTTTTTTGGCCACATCAACATTTTGTGTTTAATAGGTATACTTTTTGAACTATTTAGGTGTTCAATAAGTAATAGTCATAGTTGAGGTGTTTATGTAAAATATGCAGACAACTTTAAGTAGCCGCAGATGACTTAGGCCTTATTTTTTTTTTTTTTTTAGAGATATATGAAAGCTAAAATTAAGTTGGAAGTACAATAACTTAATTACTAGTAGGACAAGGAGCATGGGCTGTTGATATGCTTTTTCTTTATTTTTCTCTTTCTTTCTATACCCTTTTTCTTTATCTTTTTGGTTGAAAAATGAGTTAACCTTTTTCCTAGGAGGGGGCCTTTTTAGCCTGATTGTGCCTCCATCAACCTCAGCCATTTATGATAAATAAATGCTAATTCCGAATTTAAGTTTTATAAATTTAAAATTCAAGTGTGTTAGTATAATTGAGTTCAAAATTAAAATATAATATTTATATAGTTGATTTATGTATTATCACACATATATGGAATTTGAATCTAAGTTGATGATCAATCCGTTCAATTGAATCTACATGTGATGGTAGCTGATCATATGTTTTATATATAATATAATTATAATACCTAATACAAATTAAATGACAAAAGGCAGTGTATGTGTATATTTATTATGTGTTTTTTTAACAACCAAAAAAGCAGTTTCTTAATTAATTTGAATTGACATATGCTTTTTTGAGGAAGGATCGATCTAAAGGTGAGGAATGGGGCAATGGGCTGGCTGTCTTCCTTTTCCTTTTCTATCATAAAAAAATAAAACTTAGTTTTACGAGTAATTAATCAAGATGGGAAGCAATATAATTTAATTTGTACTCAATCTAGTTTGATTATTTATAAAAGGGGATATAAAAAAGAATCTATTTTGTAGGCCCTCCATTTAATATTTGTAAAAAAAATATTTTTGTTGTTGTTTAAATAGTTCAAATATGTCGTTCTTTCATTAGAATAGAATTTTGATTGCATGCTCAAGTTCACATAATACTGATATTATTTTGATGAAGTGAACGTCACGATTCGAGCACATGAATTCATTTTACCCCTCTCCTCAACTTGTTCTAACCAAATTAACATTTTTTTCTCCTATACTATTAATAATGGGAAAAAAAAAAAAAGTTATAGGAAGGCAACAAACCCTAATGATCAATGCATGAATTGGGGTCCATTTAAATGTAGGAATCTTTTAATTTCTTTTTAGGTGTTTAAAGAGGAAATGATTTATCAAGAAACAGACCATGTGAGTGGGGGTGAGTTACCTTTAAATCCAAAAAGAGAAGTTTCTTTGGGGAAGATTTCAATATAGTCAAAGCCTAAAAATAAAAACATCAGAAAGCTCCTTTAGAAAAGAACCAAACGTGCAATTATACATTAAGGTGCAGTGATCAGAAAAAGAACAAACACTTGTAATCATCATCACTTTGAGCATCTTAATTATTAATTACTAATAAGCTTCTCACTTGCACAACCTCCTAGTATATAGTACAATTATTTATTTTGTATTTATATCCAACTTATTTCAATGATAGTGGCGGAGTCAGAAGAAAACGAAAAAAATAATTGTGTATGACTGTTAAAAGAAAACGAAAAAAATAATTGTGTTATTTGGGGTCCTAACCCAAAACTCCTTCATTCAGATGGACATCCATTACCATTACACCAAAGACACAACATTTGTCAAGAATGTCGAACTTTTAATATATATCCTTTAAATAATGTAGAATTTGACATGATATACATACAACATAATTTTCCGACGAAGGGTCTTCTTCTAGCTACGCCCCTGATCTCACACTTTTCCTTCCTTTCATGCATTCAGTATTCAGTGGCTGAGTCAGAATTTTCACAAATAAGTTCAAAATATGAAAAAGTAAATACATAAAGAAGTCTAATTAAAGAGGATTTAACATTTATTATACATCTATACACAAAAATATTATTTTATTCATATATAAAAAAAATAATTTTCGATTGAAGGAGCTTCAGATGACTCCTTAGCCCTACATGGCTCCGTCATAATTTTTTATAGTACAATATGGTTGATTTATCTCTCAGTATATATACAGAAGTTACATTTCATACGTTTTTTAAATTTTATTTATCTACGAACATTTGATCTTTTGTCGGAATGATTGCCTGGGGACAAGATCCGCTTTAAAT